TTAATTCAATATGCAATATCCACATCATGGGATGTGACCCAATTTTAAATCTATTCATCTAAACAAATATTCACAATTTTTTGACAAGTCAAATAAACAGGCTGCCAGAGTCCAGTGAAGGGAATACACATATTTTCTTGAACAACTAAACACAAAAAAGCCCAAATAAAGGACAATATCTGTTGCCACTTTCAAATATGGTCCTAAGCATAAGAACAAAATTACCTATAACTGTTAAATCTCTGGAAACCTGGGGAGGGGGGAAGTAACACAATACCAACAGTTGTTTTTAATCTTCTGTACATTGTTTGCTCGTTATAATGAATGTTACTTATTTGGTTTAGAACAATAACAGCATGATTGGATAAAATAAACATGAAAGTCTATGAATCAAATGCAGTTCCATGTCACACACATATAGGAGGAAAGTAGAAGTTATAAAATTCAACATAATCCAGAACCTAAACGATCATGATCTAGATTCCTGCAGTATGTGTGTGTGTGTGTGTGTGTGTGTGTGTGTGTGTGTGTGTGTGTAAGAATGGCTAGCTCCTGCAAGTCTTGGGAGGATGTGCTCAACAGCAAGCACAGGTCTGAGCAGCAGCAACAAGTTTCTACACCACAAGGAATGCCTATGGAGAGAAATTATCACACATATCATCTTTAGGATGTGCATTTTTATTTCATAGCCTTGGATTTATACCTGAGTAAAAACTGGATTTTGTAAGAGGGAATATTTTTCATAGCAAGGGCTAACAATCTGACCCACACCACCTTCTACTGCCCCCCTACAGATGGAGTGGGAAAAGAGCAGCTTTCCATTCAGTGGTAGCTAATGACCATGGGGCTGGGAAGGCTCTGAGCCTTCATATCAGCCTCTTTAAGCAAAACCCCTGGAGCTGCCCACCAGTACAGACTAGATCACTGTGTAAGCACCCGATGAAATTATCTTACTTGCCCATTATAGCACTGCCTGGGAACATGGCTTGATAATCTGTCTCCAGAGAGCTGGCTACCAATGCAGAATCACTTGAAAAATTAGCTCCCCCGACATTTTAACCACATGTCCCACTGTACACAAAAGGGAAAGTTCTGCTGCTTGAAAAGTGCTCACTTTCAAGATGTGTTTGGAAACTGGCTAATGCCTTATGTGGGCCTGAGATCAGGACTCTGAACTTGACCAGCCTTATCAGTAAGCCTGTACAACAGAAGCATTACAAGTGTGTGCCCCTTTAAAACTGCACACTCACAGCTCCTTCAGATATGCCTAGGGCTTCCTTGCCAGCTAAGCCTCTCTCAGCAGAGTGCTGATTACACTGTACAAGAGGGAGAAAGATGAATAAAGATGAATATATTTCTTCTGAGATACTGTATCTTGATTTTGACATTTTATTTATCTCAACCTTTAAGCTGATCTTGCTTCACATGGTAAAACCAGTGCCCAACAAATCTCAAAGCTTAATCCACTAGCAGGTGGAGTTGGTTTTCAGGTGCAGTTAATTGTTCTGTGTCAGATCACCCTTTCCTCTCTGTTTGACTCCTGAACAAACAACAACACAACACAAAACAAAATCAGTAACGTGCTCCAGGATTAAGGTGTAATCAATGACAGCGCACACTGGGAGCGAAAGCTCATTAATTGGGTGCAATGGCAGCTTGTCATCCCTGCCTTATGGATCCAGAGACCTTTTAAGACGATAGAACATCAGTCCGACGTCAACTGCCTCTTGGTCTCCCACCTACTCCAATACCATGAGGACATTTGGCACTTACCTCTTTTGGTTATTCATCTGGTAAAACTTTCAGAGAATAAGGGCTCAACAGGATCAACAATGTTTGGATCTGGTTTTTGAACCTCTCTCAGTTGCTTAGTGTTTTTCCAGAGTAAAGAAATTCTGAAGAGCCACAGTATTTCAAAAAATTCTATTCCTTTTGTACATATACTATACATATGTAATTTACTATTCATGTTTGCATGTGTGTGTTATATGTGCATATGTGTGATGGGGAATATGTGTGAGCATGGTGTGCACATTATATATGGGCCCGAGGTCAACCATGGATATGTTCCAGTCACTTTTCACTTTATACTTTGAGATAGGGTTTCCCACTGAACTTGGAGCTCACTGATTCAGCTAGACTGGCTGGCTGACTGGTTAGCAAGACCCAGGGATCCTCCTGTTTCTGCTCCCTAGCAATGAGGATACAGGTGCACACTACCACACCTGGCTTTTGTATCTGAGTAGTAGGTATTGAACACAGGTCTTCGTACTTGTATGATGGGGACTTTACTGCCTGAACCATCTCCCCAGATGCAAAACATGAAATATATTCATTTGTTTGTTTAGATATTGAAATATCTACCAGGAGGCAGAGTTCCAGAAGACAGATAAATAATGAATGTATGTGTGCAGTCTAACACATCTGGGGTCTATGGGTTTCTACTTGAGCACATAATTAAAATGAATTAAAAGGATATAATAATACATCTCTAACACTAATCACCATGCCTGACATACAGTGAATGCTTAAATTTTTAAATTATTTTATTCTTATTTTATGTATGAGTGTTTTGCCTGCATGTATGTATGTGTACCATGAGCATACAATGCCTAAAGGGACATCTGATCCCCTGGAACTGGATTTATGGTGGGTTGTTTGTGGCCATGTTGGTGTTGGGAACTGAACTTGGGTCTTCTGGAAGAACAGACGGTGTTATTAACCACTGACTCATCTCTCCAGTTCCAATATATTTTATTATTGCTATATCACCATTATCAATAGCAGCATCACTATTATCATTAAATCAGGGAGATTCTGGGTTAACAAGTTCAAGTCTGGTTGATAAAACGTGCACATGAGCAAAACAGAGAAGCAACATTTCTTTCCTCTCTTTATTACAACATGGCACTCTGACAGCCTGTCTATTTAAATTAGAATATCTTCTTCTGGGACCTAATAGTTCTGAGTGGCTGATTGAGCATCTTATTGAATAGAACTGTGTAAGGCAGGTTACACATCGTTCTATTTTCCTCTCCTCACCTCCTGACATCAGCTATGGCTAGATCTTGTTTTTTTATAACCAGTGGTGCCATGAAGGTATCTTGAAGATGCTCTTGGGTCATAGATGCATGCATTTTTTTTCATAGGTGAGTATTGTACAAAAAAAGTAAAATCTGGTACAGGAGAAAAAATGAGTCTGCACTTGGATATCTAGTGATGTCAGGCAGGGCTTAATTAGACAACTCAGAATCGTGAAATGCTCTCCTTCCATGATCCACATCTTCTACTTACCCACTCCTCCCCCTAACACCCTTTGGAGGTTCTCTAAACACTTAGTCTGGGAATCACATGGCACTCATTACTGTGACTCTCACCAAAGCTCATCTGAAATATTATAAATATCTTCCTCCACATTCTCTTCTGTTTAATAAATGACATTTTCAATAAGGTATGTGCTCTTCCCATAAAAATATTAAAAATAACCAGTTTGCAGTAGTACAAACCACCTGTAATACTTATCTCCAATGTATGACACACATAGAAATTGAGAAAAGGACATTAACTATTTACAGGCATGATGTGTACACACATTGAAAAGCCAGCAGGGCTTTCTCATGACCCTTCCCCATAGACACTGCTCTGTCTGAAGAGAAGCTTGATACTAATGGAACAGAACACGGTATCATTTTTATTTCATTAACCTCCTTCACTAAGAAAGGGAAATGACATTCTTTATATGCCTCATCAGGGAGAGAGAGAGAGAGAGAGAGAGAGAGAGAGAGAGAGAGAGAGAGAGAAGCAAGCTGAACCTGAGCTTCAGTGGTCTGCCATAACCTTTTCATGACCTTCTAGAATGTCTTTTCTACTGTGGCATGGAGACTCTGCTAAAAAGCCCTGCCCCTCGGAGACAAGGTTGCACATCTCTTAATCTTCCAATGTGCAGACTACACTGTTTATAACAGATGCATGCAGAGAAAGGTGGCTTTAATTCTTATAAATGTACATATATTAGAAGAAGCTATCAAGGAAGCACACACTTAATAATTCATGAAAATTCTGATCAAGGGCTACCGAATTTAAATAATAAAATAGGTGCTGAGCACTCAATGTGCTAAAGACTCCATGATTATGAAGGCTCCAACTAAGACGCCCAAACCTTCAGCAGCATCACTGCATAGTACCCTTGGCCTGTCTCTAGCCCTCTGGTAGACAAAGCTCCATATTCTCTCTGGCTCAGGGATTATCAGAGGAGCCGGGAGTAACCATTCAGAGGTAGTATGCTCCTGAATTCCAGGAACTGCTGAGGGCATGAGCACATGACCCAGGCTGGCAACATGACTGAGAAGGAAAACACATTGTATTTTTAACAAACAGTAAAACTGGAAGTGTTTGGGTCGGAGGACTATTCTGTCTTTGTTTTCAGACTGATAACACCCTAAAAACATCTTTGTTCCTGTATTGAGGTTTTTCTCCCTATAAATAATTCGCACTCATTCATTTGAAATAGTATTTTTGGTACACTCCATATGCATGAATCCCAGAGATAATACACACACACACACACACACACACACACACACACACGTGTGTGTGTGTGTGTCTGTGTGTCCCCTCCTGCATGCTGCTCAGGGGCTGAAGGACCATGGACAGCAAACTGGGAACAAGTTATACTTTAGACCCTGACCCTGGCAGACCTAGAGACTGCATGGATCCCTTCCACAATGGAACCCTGAGGCTCCTTTTTGACCATAAGTTTCCAGAGCAGTGAGAACCAAGGGAACCAAAAAGCATGAGCACAACATGATGACCAGACCCCAACAATTTTGCTCAGGCCTGCCTCGAGACAAAGTGCAGTCTATCTCTAGAGGTAACAGAATGAGCAGAAAGGAATGAATGCACATAATCAGGACATTCCCTCCAGGAAATGAGCTTCCAAGAGACAGCACTAGAAGAAACCATACTCGCACAGTAATTACTGGCTCAATTTATCTACGTACCTCCAAAGTGAGCTCTCGGTGATGCTCCCCAGGTTATAGTCGTAGAGCTTTGTCAAAATGAGAATCACCTAAGGGCAGAAGAGGAAATCATGGTTAGTCTCAAACAATTACGATCTCTTAGAACTGAAATGGCCCAGGGGAGGACTTAGGATTCCTTTAATGGACGCTTAACATAATTGAATGAATTGTTACTGCTTTGCTGCTCTGACTGGGGAAAGGTTGGTGGATGAATACCTCCAGTCAGGTGTCCTTACCACCTTCCTCCCTGTCATCCACAGCAAGGGCTACCTGCTACTCCATGCATTTTTTGCCCTGATGCACTTAACACTTTTGAGGAAGGTGGCAGAATTTTCAAATATGTTTTCTACAAGGTAGCCACTGATTAATGTTTAGGAAAGGTCAATGGAAAAGTTCTCAGCTCCCGTAACTGGGCCACATGGTACCATCTCCTAGATACCTTGAACTCCAATGTGTCCACCTGTTATGGCCATAGAGGGTAATACTCTCTCTCAGAAAGTGCTACTGTGAGGAGTAAAATCAGGCAGTGAATACAAATCACAGATAAATTAGCACAGGGGTCTTAAGCATTAGCTTCTTTCCTTTCTCCTCTGTGAACTTGGTTTAACTGGATTTTTTTTCCTGATTTCTAAATTCCTAAGAAAATGATAGGACAGATGTCACAAAACACCACAGAAGACTTAAGCAATAGCGTTTTTTTTTTTTTAGGATGTATGATTCTTGAGATTTCTACAATTTGGGGATGGGAGACTTTCCACAAGAAAGAATATTCAAAATTAAATTTCAGGACAAGTTCTGGAAGAGACAGCATAAAACTAAGGCATATCAAAAGCAAAGCTTCCTTAGCCTCACAGCAAAGGCCCCTCTGATTTGAAACCTCTTTCCAGTCTATCTCATGGGAAATCAAACTATTTACCTCATTCTTTTAAAACACAGGGAACATTTATTAAGAATCCAGGATTGTTTGTAATTCTAGACGAGAGCACAAAGAAATACAATGACGTTTGGGAGTCCGTGAACCAAAGATGACAAAACGCGCTCATGGAAGAAAACAGATATTTTGAGGAGCAGATCCCCCACATCTGGGTACTGATGAAGGTCGCATCCATCACAATAGTGTGAGAAGATGGCTTCTCAGGTACCTGCAGCAATGAACAAGGTCTTCCTGGTTTCCTGATGTACATGGCCATGCACATTTGCAGAGACTCAACAGATCAGGCTCCTCTGACCCTTGCTCTCCCTGCTCACACTTCTGACAAGAGGAAGGAATGTACTGAATCTGCTTATTGTTCCACTGAGGCTGATATTTTCCTCCGGGTCCCATAGTCTAGCCCTAGAACTTTTGGCCCAACCATAGTATTTCTCACTCTAGAAAACCACTGACATCAATTTCCTGAATTTTCTCCGACTGCTACAGCTAGCACAGAATATCCTAACCTTGATTTCTGAGGCAGTGGCTTCCCAAGCTTGCTGAATCCTTCCAAATTCCAAGCTGCTGACACAGTGCCTCATTGAGGAGGCAGGAACATCAGTGAACTGATCCTTAACTCTTCCCAGAAAGCAAACTAGGACTCTGTAACGTTAGATTTGCTCTAATGTTGAGGGACTGGAGAACTGTTTACCTAAAGTCTGGCAGAGATCTCTGAAGACCAATCCTCTAAGGCAGCTCTCCCTTAACCCACAGTACAGACTTTTTTTAACGATCTGTTCACAACTTGATTCTTTAGCAAGACATGAACATGTGTGAGGTGTGGGGCACCCTATGGATGCATCAGCTGGCATGCCATGCCTGTGGTGGGGGCATATGCTTAACAGATCTTTGTGCCAATTAAATCACTTTAAGTGCTAAATTTCAATCACCGTGATCCCAGGAACACTGATCAGTGGCAGCAGGGTGGCTGTTTGTTTGAAGACAGAGAATGATGCTGAAACTCCCCCTCAGTTTGACTTTGCTGAATAGGCCTATAAATCCCCCATCAAGAAAATGGGGGTATGGGAAGAAAGCATTTCTAGGTAGTTGCTCTCATGATACAATACAGCAGTAAACTAAATAAGGAAGTTCACCTGGTCACAGACTGTGGCTCCCATTCATCTGACAAGGGACTTCAGAGGTGTCCCAGAAAATGAACCCTTTAACCCACCATATAATGGTATGAACTTGTCCACCCACATACACAGCATTTGTATAAGCAATTTTCAGAACAAGTAGACAGAAAGGTGGAAATCTGTCCTCTGCATTGCCTTGCCCAGCTACTTAAACTAAATTATCAGTAATATGGTCCCACGGTTTATCAATACCATGCAAGAGAAGCATCCTTCGTAACGTTTCCCAGCATGTCTGTTTGAATCAGTCTAATCTTTCTGTTTTCAGAACCAAAGCAATAAGAAAGGGACTGCTAACCTTTGGTTAGGTTTTCAATCGATCATCCGAGGTCTCTCTTCCCTTCATTTTCCCCCTCTGGTGCTTGTGTGTGCATGAATGACCAACTTACTCCTGCATAGTTAAGTGATGCAACATTAAATCACAGTTGCTTCATTGTTTCTTTGTTATTTTCCTTTTCTGATTAGTCATACTATTAAATAGAATCAGCCCCTGTTAAAGGGTCTGTGATGGTTTGAATGTCCAAGTATTTGGACATTTTGTCCCCAGATGATGGTGCTGTTTTGGGAGGTTTTAGAAGGTGTGGCTATCCTGGAGGAAGCACGTCACTGGGGGTGGTCTTACAGAGTTCTTAAGCCTTCCAGATCTCCAGTTGCTCTGTTGCTTTGTGTGCCTGAGTGATGATGTGTGAGAGCTTAGCTTCTGCTCCAGCTACCTCCAGCTATCATGCCTCACTGTCATGATGGACTGTAATTCCCCTGGGACTTTAAGCTCAAATAAACGCTTCTTTCTGAAAATTGCTTTGGTCAGTGTTTCTATCACAGCAACAGAAAAGTGACTGATATAGTAATTGGTACCAGAGAGTGGGCTGTTAGCTATGAAGAACCTGACCATATGGGGTTTTGAAGAAATGTGGAAGACTTTGGAAGGTTGGGCTAGAAAAGTGGTTGATTGCTGTAAGCAGAGCTTAACAGGCCATTCTAGTAAACACCTGGAAGAAAGTAGTGCTGAGAACAATGTAGTTCCAGAGGGAAATAAGGACTTAACTAGCAATTGGGATATTTTGGCAAAGAGTCTGGATGGAGTCTGCCCACAGCCAAAAAGCTTGCCTGAGGCTAAGTTGAAAAGCCATGGACTAATTTCTCTGATGGAAGAAATTTCAAAACAGCCTAATGTAGAAATGGTGGTATGGCCATTAATGGTGAATATTATGCAGATCTACAGTGAAAGAGAGCAAATGGGGCAAAGAAATAAAGAATATACAGGATGGATTGAAAAAGAGCACTAGGAAGATTAATGTTGGAGGCCTGGGATGTGATAGAGAGGATCCCATTGATATAAAGTGATTAAGGAGATTAAAGTGATTAAGGAGAGGCCTAGAGATTCAAACTTAAACAATGGAGAGAGTGTCTCCAGGGCAAGACCACACCCAAGTGAAGCCTCCAATTTGTGAAAGGAAAAATCTGCAGGACAGCTGAAGAGAAAAGCTTCTAAAATGGATAAAGCAGGCTGGAGTCCACCCCAAACTTGCAGCCAGACTTGGCAGTGTGTTCACCTAGTGCTGGCTTTAGAGGCATGAAAGATGCAAGAGTGAAGGGGTCATCAGTTCTTCCTCTGCAGTTTCAGAGAGCCAGTGAAGCCTCCAATTTGTGAAAGGAAAAATCTGCAGGACAGCTGAAGAGAAAAGCTTCTAAAATGGATAAAGCAGGCTGGAGTCCACCCCAAACTTGCAGCCAGACTTGGCAGTGTGTTCACCTAGTGCTGGCTTTAGAGGCATGAAAGATGCAAGAGTGAAGGGGTCATCAGTTCTTCCTCTGCAGTTTCAGAGAGCCACTGAAACCAGGCAGCATGCAGCAGGGGTTCCCCTGCCTAGAGAAGGCCCTGATAGGCCAGTGTGAAGCTGTGAAGGTGAAGCTTTGTTGGCAATGGAGACCCCAAGAAGTTTGTGATGCCAGAGCTGTGAGGCATCTGCTAAGAAGACCTGCACACAGGGAGTGGTACCAGCCCAAGAGACAGATGTGTGTTGCACACAGCAAAGCTAGAGAGGCTGAGCCTTCTAAGCCTTTGAAGTAAAGTCCCAGAAGTTGGATGTGGAGCTACTGGATTTGGTGTTTGCCCTGATGGTTTTCAGTCTTGTTTTGGTCCGGTATTTCCTTCTATGCCTCCATTCCTCTTTTTTGGAATGGTAATGTGTATTCGGTTCCACTAAATGTTGGGAGTATGTAATTTGTCTTTTGATTTTATAGAGGCTTACAGTTAAGATATTTACCTGAGCCTCAGAAGAGACTTGGACTGTAGACTTTTAAATAGTATTGAGACTGATAATGACTATGGGGACTTTTAAAGTTGGACTAAATGTATTTTGCCTTTTATATAATGTACTTCTCTACCCAATGGTTGGGCGAGAGTTCTTTCTGAGTATTGGTAAAAAGAATTAATGTGGCAACAGTGTAACTTTACAAACAAGCAGTCTCCTTTATTCAAATTATTAGTCAGGTTAGAACTTTGCATATAATCATAGTTTTGTTAATATAAAAATGCAGTTTAGGGGCTGGGCATGGTGGCGTACACCTTTAATCCTACCACTCAGGAGGCAGAGGCAGGTGGATCTCTGTGAGTTCAAGGCCAGCCTGGTCTACATAGTGAGTTCCAAGACAGTGGGGCTACAGGGAGACCCTGTCTCAAAAAGACCCCCCCCAAAAAAAATGCAGTTTAGAAACAAAACCCCAAACATTGAAGGAAACCCCAGAACAACTTCCTAGAAATGCAATTCTGCACAGCATATATTTGCAAACTTGTCTTTACTGCTACAGTACAGAGGATGAAACTGTATTATCCTCTTTTTAAACAGGAGGATGGGAGTTTTATACTTATTTTATTAAAGCAAAAATAATTTTCCTTAATCATTCGCTAAATTAAAGAATTTTCTCCCACTGGAAGGGAAATAAA